AAAAAAAAAAAAAAAATTCTGTAGTCCCAGTAGCTGGGACTACATGCACGCGCCACCATGCCCAGCTAATTTTTGTATTTTTAGTAGAGATGGGGTTTCACCATGTTGGCCAGGTTGGTCTCAAACTCCTGACCTCAAGTTATCCACCCATTTTACCCTCCCAAAGCACTGGGATTTATAAGCATGAGTCACCAGACTCAGCCTCATATCAGAATTTAAAATGCCTTCAAGAACTTCTCCTCTCACCTTCCTGTATCTAAATGCCCAGATAAAGCATCTCTTACATCAATTTGGGACAGACAGCACAACCTCTTTTTAAGCCTAGGGGCTACACAGGCAACTCCCCCAAATTTGAACTCACTCCTCAGCGGGAGCTACTTGTTCCAATAAGCTCAATAGATTCCTAGGTATCTGTCACACATGTGGTTCCTTTCCATGGCCTCTGACCACCTGGGTACATTATTGGGAGCAGACAGCAAGGCAGGGACATGGTATCCACTCATGGGAACAGCAAGCGGTCATCTTGCTTGCCAGATCCCTAGATACATGCTTACCTTGGCATAACCAAAGTTGAAATTGATGGCTTTGGCATGTCCAATATGCAGGATTCCATTGGGTTCTGGCGGGAACCGGGTACGTACCTGAGATAAGAGGGATGGGAAAAGAGAAATAAGGTCAGAGCTCAGATGACCCTAAGGAAACAGATGTTCCCTCCCAGGAAGGCCATGGTGATGGGTGAACTGGGGCAGTATAGAGGCAGCCCAGGCACTCAGGCAGGCATTTGATGGCACAAGCTCATATGGCCACATTCCCACACACCTGCCCACCAGTAATTTCCAGGTGCTGCTTTAGTAGATTCATGGTGTGTGGAGTCATCACATAGCCTGGGGTCTTGTAGTTTTCACCTGTCAGGACCAGAATAAGCCTAAGGACCAGGCTGCAGCCAAAGCCTCTGACCCCGGGGGCCTGACTGTAGGAGCTGCTGCCAAGATCCAGCCCTCCCCAGGGTTTCGACATGCCCACTAACCAGGCTTGTGGAACTTAAGGGCCTCTCCCCGGAGCTGCTCCATCAGAGACAAGGTCTGGTCAGCAGTCTCACCTGTGGGGAACAAAACAAGGAAAACTTGTCCTCTGGATACATTTACCATATCCTACAGCCAGAATAGAACTGAGTAGACCCCTCTTCGCTCAATTCCAGAGACAAGAGATCAAGAACCAGACATCTGAGGCCTCTCAGGCCAGTCTCTGGGCAAAGGGAACAAAGGAAACACCAGGAATTCCAGTCTTGAGACAGAAGGCAGGGTACTAAGCAAGGCAGAGTACTGAGCAAGCCAAGGGCCTGAGGAGCCTGTGAGGACTCTTCCGGGGAGGCTCACAAGTCAGGGAGCTGAATGCTGTGATAGGAGCCTTAAGCTTCTCACCATTCTCTATCACATATTTTGCTGTCCTCCGGTCTGTTTCCTCCAGCCGCACTTTGGCCACCTGAAAGAAGCCCCAGGTGCTTCAGAAAATGGCATCAGATTTTCTCTTCGGCAGGGTCCTGGGATCACTGTGGTCAGACACTTCCTTCCCCAGCCTGAAGTCTCACCATACCTTACCTCACCCTCAGGGGCTCAGGGCCATGCCCAGCCTTACCTTGGGCTTCTTCTCCAGATCAGCCTCCATCTTGGGGCCCAGAAGGTGGAGGACCTGAGCAGAGACCACAGTCAGGCAGTGACAGGAGTATCCTCTTTCAAGAAGCCCCTGACTGATCCTACCCCGACTGAAGGCTTCCTAGACTGTCTACCAGCACTGACTGGAAGAACCTACCTACCCCATCCCACCTCTTCTCCTCATGTGGGTCTGCTAGCTTAAAATGTTCTCTCTCTAAGCTGGGCGCAGTGGTTCATGCCTGTAATCCCAGCACTTTAGGAGGTTGAGGCAGGAGGATCACAAGGTCAGGAGTTCGAGACCAGGCCCAGCACTTTAGGAGGTTAAGGCAGGAGGATCACGAGGTCAGAAGTTTGAGACCAGGCTGACCAACATGATGAAACCCTATCTCCACTAAAAATACAAAAATTAACTGGATGTGGTGGCGTACACCTGCAATCCCAGTTACTCAGGAAGTTGAGGTAGGAGAATCACTTTAACCCAGGAGATGGAGGTTGCAGTGAGCTGAGATCACACCACTGCAC